CTCTTTCCTTCCTTCTCCCCCCACAACAACAAAAAAAACAAGAAGGGGACTTTGCAAGATAAAAAAGCTCAGCAATTGCTTTGGAAAGTAAATCATATCAACTTAAATTTACACCTTAATTAAAGTATCCCACCTTGAGAATTACTAAACTAGTTCTTTAATTTGTTTAAGCAAACAAGATTCATTCTATCTCTAATAATTTACTTAAGCTTAGTTGAAATAAAACAGTCTTAAGTATCATGTGATGGCCAACTCTATAAACTGAGTCAAGTCTTTCACGACCCTAAGTTTATGGCAAATCAGAGTTATTCCGAACTAGAGAAATATCAAAGTCAACTGATCAAAATTGACTTGGAAGCTATGAATTAATATTGTTTTTAAATACTAGATCTCTCATTCTGCCCATTTGTCATATTAACGCGAGGTCTTAAGTTTTTGTTTTTCATGCAAAGAATTAAAAATATTTTTCTCTTACTTATATGTTCGTGCATGTTCATCTTCATAGTTGATCAGCAATAATTTTCTGTGTAAGAATATCAGTATTCAGTATATGGACCATCATTAAAACTTGTTTTTCCAAGCTGTGACTATCACGAGTTTTGTTAATCATGCATGTTTTAGAATAAAATTTCAGAACTGAGTTTTGTTTTAGAACTTGCGTAGGTGTAGAGACAAGCACATTTATTGATCTAGCTATTTGTTAATGAGTACTTTTAACAAATTTGAGTTTTCAATTGCTTTACTAATTGCAAGCATTAAGCTTAAGTACATATTTTCAAGTGAATATGTCTACGTGATGTCAAAAACTTTAGGGATATTTTCTGTTCTACTTAGGTTGTGACTTGTGATAAGGGGTGTACATGGACCGGGTGGGTTCGGGTTTTCGATTTTTTTGTTACTTAAATATTATTTCAATCTTACTTTGTTAAATTTTTTATAAGCAAATATATATGATACCTAAATAATAGTAATCACTTCACATTCGAAGAAGATATAAGAATTTAATAGATCTTAACATATGATATTGTCACGACCCGGATTTCAGACCCTCGAGAGTCGTGATGGCGCCTACTGGTGAAAGCTAGGCAAGTCAAATTATCCTAATTACTTAACTTTTTTCCAGTTTTAAACCATTATCAGTGATGAGTAGATATCATGCAAATAGCGAAAATAATTAAGCGGAAGACAAAATCTGACAATTTATCTTAATACAAAACTTTGGAAGTCTAAATACAACTCTACCCAGAATTTGGTGTCACAGCTTCACATACGGTCTAAGAATACTACATACAAAGTCTGAAAGATAAAATAAACACTGTTTCTGAAATGAGTAAAGGAAACAGGATAAAGGAAAAGATAGGAGGTGATGCCAAGGCCTACGGACGTCTGCAGGACTACCNTTCAAAATTCCAACAAGTTTTTGCCTCGCGAATTCGTGCCCGAAATTCTCAAATCTAGTCATAAGCAATTCGATCCAGTCAATAAAAATTATAGGAATTAATTCCATATGAAATTCTACATTTTTCATTAAAAATCCGAAGTTTGCACTAAAAATTCACCCGTGGGGCCCACGTCTCAGAACCCGACAAAAATTACGGAATATGAAACCTCATCCAACCACGAGTCCAGTCATACCAATTTTACTAAAATCTGACATCAACTCGACCCTCAAATCTTCAAATTAAACTAAGAGGGTTTTCAAAATTTTCCCAACTAAAATCACCAATTAAATGCCAAAACTAGAAATAGATTCGGGTAATCTAACCAAAATTAAGTTAATAACACTTACCCCGTTGTTTTCTCTGAAAATCTCCCGAAAATCGCCTCTTCCCGAGCTCCAATTCGCTAAAAATGGAAAATACTTAATGTTCTGTCTAGAAAAATTCCGATACTGTTCACGTGTTTTCACTATTCACGGCACTGTACACGATACTGTTCACGGTACTGTATGGCACTGTTCACGGGGTACTGTACACAATACTGTTCACAGGGTACTGTACACGGTACTGTACACGGGGTACTATTTCTGCAATTTTTCTGTTTCCTAAGTCCGAAATCACTCCGAGACACCTCCGAAACACTCCCGAGCCCTCGGGGCTCCTAACCAAACACATGCACTAACTCAACAACATCCTACAAACTTAACCGTGCGATCAAATCGCCAAACTAACATCATATACCACGAATTAAGCTTTAAAATCCAATAATTCTTTCAAATTTTCTTAAAACATCAAATTTTCCATTTTGAGTCCGAAACACGTCAAACGACATCCGTTTTCAACCAAACTTTACAAAAAGTGCTTAAACCATATATAAGACCTGTACCAGGCGCGGAACCAAAATACGGGCCCGATACCATTACTTTCTAATCAAATTTTATTTCCATTTTCCTTACATATTTTCAGAAAACAATTTTACTCAAAAATTCATTTCTCGGGCCTGGGACCTCGGAATTCGATTCCGGGCATACGCCCAAGTCTCATATTTTCCTACGGACCCCCTGGGACCGTCAAATCACGGGTCCGGGTTCGTTTATTCAAAATGTTGACCAAAGTCAAAGTTACTCATTTTAATATCAAAACTTAGCAAATTTTCACATAATTTCATATTTGAGCTTCCGGCTATGCGCTCGGACTTCGCACGCAAATCGAGGCAACTATAAATGAGGTTTTCAAGGCCTCGGAAGCTCGGAATGGATAAGAAAACAGGTGATGACCCCTTTGGGTCGTCACATATATGAATATGAAAGAACAAAAAGATATACGCATTTCAGTAACACTTGACTAGAAAGTAATCATACAACCCATTATTTAAGGTAAATAAATATGGAGCACTTTCATATACTATTAAATATTATATCCCGCAAGAGAATCCCAAATATTTCTAAACATTTTTTAAAGAAAATTCTATATAAAATCTTAAAAGTATATTTACATGTCGGTTTGGTTCGGATTTTTTTACTCAACATCAAACCAAATCAAACCAAACCTAGTCGGTTTTTTAATCGGTTTAGTTTGACTTTTCGGGTTGGTGCGATTATTCGGTTCGGTTTGTACATCCCGTATAGTTTAGGAATGTTATTGGCCAACACTCAAAAACAACGTAGAAGAAAATCATAGGACAACAACAACATACCCAATATAGTCCCACAAGTGGGGTTTAAGGAGGGTAGTATATATGCAAACCTTACCCCTACGTTGTGAAGGTAGAGAGATTGTTTCCAGTAAACCCTTGACTCAGGAAAAGCACAATCACAACAGTTTAGATGAGGAAATACGGCAAAGGAGGATCCATGTAAAGAGAAGCACTAACCACATCCACAACAAAGGTAACCGAAGGAAAAGAAATAGCAGGTACTATTAGAAATCTAAGAATAAGAAATACGAGAATACACTAGTACTACAGAATAGGAAAAAAAAATAGTATGTTCTTGAATTCTGCTGCAATAGACCAGACTAATCCCTCTTCTTCCAAACAAACGAAAACACAAAAGGAAGCAAGAAGAGTTGACATCTAGCATCTCATTGCAACTCAAATATAGAGTTGCAGCTAAAAACACAAGGAATCCCTCAACTTTATATTACAGTGCTCGACCAGGATCAGATTGCTGCTTTGATTTCTCTAGTGTATGGTTCATATAGAACCTAGCCATGCGAAATGAAATTATCATGATTGAATCTTCTGGTTTTTGGCAAAAAGCATAATCAGTATTTAAATTGTCTTTTACTTCTGAGAATCACAGTATTCGGGGAACTCGCACTCGCATGGTCCTTTTCTTACCTGCATTATAAAGGAAAGATCTTCATTACTACTTACAAGGAGACTTAGCTTAAGATTACATAAATATGAAAATACAAAAGTAACTCTGACTAATAATTCATAGATTTCCACGATATTGTACCCTTCTTGAAGCTTGCAGGTGCTAGTTTTTCTCAGTATTTAACGAATTCGCCTGTATGATACCACTATTTCATTAATCTTTACTCAACTTCTAGGTTTCATTGGATGAAAGGATTTCGATTCAGGGGTGGATTATTATCTGAATTTTGGATCTTCACAAATTGAAAGTCCTTTCGGATGCAACGTGATTTTGGAGGACTTCAAGTTTTAAAATCCAAAATTTCATATGATATGGAACATAAAATTCATAAAGTATGGAACATACTCCAAGACCAACTAAACCAAGCAAAATCACACAGCCGTATTTAGATATTACTCCTGGTCAAAATTTTAAAATTTGTACAGACCATTCAACAGCATTTTGGGAAAGATAAAACTGAACATCCACATTACGGAGGTAAATATGAACCATATACCATCCAAACAATTAATGCATTAACAGTATGTTGCAGTTCCAAGGTGAAGATTTTTAGATTAGAACCAAATTCAGATTCACATACCTTGCGCAATGTAAATGACACTCTCCTTGAAGCCCTTCTAATTCTTGTGTCATTCACTACATCAACCTGCAATATACAAGTTTGGGAAAAAATCAGCTGGAAAGAAGTTACCAATACTGCCATAACAGTAACAGAATGCGTGAAAAAGTTAAAAGGAGTAATCAAACACATACATTGAACATGCAAATTGAAGTTAAAAAAGGCACCAAAAAAAGAAAACAAACAACAAAGTACCATAGATTGAAGCAATGACGCAGTTAACACTTGAGGATCCAAGACAAATATGTGCCTTGTTCCTTTGACAACTAGGTGAAGCATATGAGGCCAAGTTTCCGGTCATAATACTTACATATAAATGTATAATAGAGTTAAGAAGTGAAATTTCTTAAAGTCACATCCAACTCAAGTTGCATGAAGCTTCGAACTCATTTTCATATTTTCCTGAAGACGTGCCATACATAATAACAACATCTGAAGGAACTCAACCTACTTCCGAATTCCAAACTGGATATTTTTGCCAACATTTTACCAACTTAGTTATTTCTCATCCAAAATAGATTTTTTTGTTCTATAATATGGATTTATCGAATTGGCAGTAACAAAGACATTATTCTTGGTTTAAAAACACATTTGCAGTATTCAAGGTGAAAAAGTTGAAACTGTCACCAAGGAAAGGACGTCTATTACCATTTTAGCATTTTAAGTGCATAGTACAGGAAGCAAACGATGGGATCAAGGGGGAAAGAAGGAAAGAAAAGCCGTTGGCAGCAGGAGTTACCTTATGGTGTGGAATGTAATGGTGCCACACATAGCGTGCTTCCCCTGATAATAACAGAATAGATCGAGGTGGGAGATAAATAGCTCTCCTCAAGAACTTTGAGCTCTTCTCAGAATTTTGAGCTTCTTCATCATTTAATGTGTCGGGACTTGTAAGCCAAACACCAGTAGAATACTTTCTGAACTCCATGATGCAAGGCCCTGCCAATGAAAGGCTGAAAATTAAATCTTCAAATGCTGAATGGGTGTCAATATGCGGAGACAAACCCACGCCGGGTGGATATTCATTAACCTGTTAAAGATTTTGAAATATTTCTTGAAGTTAACCATAAAAGTTTCATGACATCTACAACATTTGAAAACATAACATATTACTGAAAATTAAAAAACATTACGAACTGCAATTCAGACAAGAGCTAATTCCCTTTCCCAGTATAAAGCAAGACAATGTGTCATGGATGGACAGCTCATAGATGAATAGATATCAGATGTGAAACTAACTCACCGTGAGCTGGTCCAAAAGTACAGTTTCAGCGTAACCAAGCTTTTGAAACAATGACATCTTTTCAAGTATTGGGGAAAGAAATGATGGAAGTTCACCCAAGTACTGGTTTGCGTTGACATTCCTTGTCTGCAGAGATGAATAGAAAGAGAAATTAAATAAATGAAGTTAGATTTTAAAACCCTATTAGCCTTTGGAAGCTATATTCTAAAGAAACAGATAACAAATGTAAGAGAGATCATAAGCAGAGAATGTCCAGAGTTCCTCAAGTCATAAAGCCCCATATTATGCTCTTAATCCCTAATGACAGCTTCAATCATATAAATTGAAATATAAACTGGCATCTGCAGATGAACTTTTTAAGCAGTTGTGAATTGTCAACCAAACTTATCTTACTCTAGTCTTCATCATCTTTGGGGGCATGCTTCATTTGACAGGGGGGCGATAGAGTTTTAGAATATCCAGATTTTGATCTACGGAAACAGGTAATAGAAGTAAACAAAATAAAAGAAACTACAGTCAGACCTCTCCTGTATAACAGTGGGAACCCATTTTTATAATATGTTATAATGTATGTCCACTGTAACAGCACTTCACTATAGTAGCCAAAAAATATCGGAATGAACGAGGTTTGATTATATTTCTTCACATACACACATAACATGCTGCATACACATCTCATGTTGGAAAAGTATAAGAATCAAAAATATGTTTTTGCTATATGCTGGTTTAACACAGTTGCATTTCAAACACCAACCGTTTGCACTCACACTATATTGGAACTCATAACCATAATGCTGAACCCTTCTTTTAGCAAGTTTTTGCCAAGGCCTTGTATCAACAGCTGCAAGTAGTTCCTAAAGATGCAAAGTAGCTGAGATAGATTTAAGTGAAACTTTTCACATAAGGTTTGAGAAAAAATGGAGTAGATATAAGCACAGTCCAAATAAAATCCTATATGCTTTTCCTGCAAAATGAGATCCCAGACCTTCTCTTCTTCGGCACTGATAAAGTCATGAATCAAGTAAAGACCAGGAATATCTAACTCTGAAGCTGCCATAGACACCGGAATTGAGTCATCAACTGCAACCTTAACCAGAAAGCAAGCTTGTCAAGAATAGAAACATATGCAAACTATCAACAAAAGTTGCTCATGGGGTTAAAGACGAATAACTCGGCAACCTCTATGCTGAGATGTACAAATTCAACTTACACACTGGCCTTAGTTCCCGAAAATGACATGGCCAACGTTGGCAAAATAACAGAAAATCTAATTCCTCAAAATGAGCACCTACACTAAGCATGATCGATATCAGGCACAACTGCTCTACTTAAAAGTAGGTGCATTGGTTCCTATATCATCTTTCAGACATCGGGTTTTCATCTACCAATGTTCACTCAGGTATGCAGATATGTTAACAGAAGGAAGAACGGTCACATAAGAAAGTTTCAAGTCAAATGTGTCCTTCAGAAGCTCTTTGCATTCAGTTTTCTTATAACATGCTTTAAAGCTGATTCTCTAAAAGGCACTGTATATTCAAATAATAATTGAACTGACATGCTCAAAGGAGAAGCACTATAAACAATCTCATGACAATTACAAGACTGCACAAAATTCAAGACATTGATGTGGATAAAGATATTTCACCTGACAAACAGAGTGTACAGAATACTGAATGTGCAAAGACCGGCCTCCAAGCTCAGGACATGCACGTCTACTCAAAGCCTTCAAGGCAGACTCTGCAGACCTCTCTTCATGATAAGACACAATAACTCTAGTGCCACTTTCATCGGCGAGATAGACTCCCTTGACTGGACCATATGCACCAAATACAGCTTCAATTGTGTCAAAAGTGAGTCCAACTGCAGGTCCACAATTGGCCACATAAAGATTTGAACTTGATTCGATAGTCCCTCCAGGACGTTTAAATCTCGGCAAACCCATGTATTATGATCAATGCCTACAACAAGAAAGAATGTACCTTTACGTCCTCACCATATTCATCCATTTTCTTTGGTAATTGAGAGCAATCGAGCATGAAACACCACAGTGGTCCTTCCCATGTATGGAATCATCCAAAATATTTAATTGATCACATAACTCTTATAATTCATCCAATTATTGGACTAGTACAGGTCAGTTTTTCCAGAATTGCTCACATATCAGATAATTTTAAACAAAAGCTTGTAAGTAGCTAAATAACAAACCTAAACTCCAATTTTCAAAGTAATTAAAAATTGATTTTTGATAGCTAAAAAAAATGTAGCACACCCTGGTTTTCAAGATTTACATATTCTAACTCAACATAGAACTTTAGATACTCAATAGTTTCATATTGATACATAGATTTATGGTGCTACTTGGCAAGCTTACCATTTTTCATAATAAAAGAAAGTAATTGACATTTTTAAGCTTGAAAATTTTGTGCTAAATCCAGAAAGTACCATTCTTGCATCTCCATTTAACTAGATTATTCATTATATACAGTGAAATCTAGCTCCCTCAAACTAATTACACTTTCTAATTCATGTTATTGTTCCACCACAGAAAATAATATAATTCTTCGGGAATATCCCTTATCCGAATTATGAAACAAGTATGAGAACAGGAATTTGCAACCTATTTTAAAATTTGTTTGTCTATTTATTTTTGTTTTAAACACAAAACCAAATCTTTTTCTGAATTAAACAAGAATTAAATTCGCTATGTTTAAAAATGAAAAATCACAAAAGAGAAATCTTACTAGCAAAACTGCACCGCCCACCAAGGATCTGTGTTGCAAAAATTACTGAAACGAAGAGAGATTTCTCTTTACGTTGTTCCAGAAATATACCTTGAGTTATAGTGAACCAAAATCTCAATGTAGTCCTCATAGTTAACACTCAAGTTACGAATGAACCCCTTGTTTTATTTTATGGTGTTAATTCGCCACTATATGTTTGGGAAACTATCAACTAAATTCTCATGGTTAGTGGTTAAGTAGCAAAGTGCCGGGTGACTTAGATCTTATGCTCTACACAAATAACAACAAACCAATATAATCCCACAAGTGGAGTCTGGGGAGATTAATATATACGTAGACCTTATCACTACATTGTGAAGTTAAGAGGTTGTTTCCGATAGACTCTCAGCTCAAGGAATAGTGAAAATAAAGCAGCAAACGATAGCAACAATAAAGCAACAGGGAAACGAAAGCGAATAACACAACATGTATTAATAAAGAATCAGGAATAAGAAAATATAATAATAGTACTAGTACTATTGGTAAGTCTAAGAAAAACTCACGACTACCAGTCAACCTTGAACCCTAATTTCCGATCTCTACATCTTCCTATCGAGGGTCATGTCCTCGGTCAACTAAAGCAATAGCATGCACTGCCTAATCACCTCTCCCTAGTACTTCTTTGGCCTATCCCTAAGCTTTCTCAGACCCGCCATAGTCAACCTCTCGCACCTCCTAACCAAGGCATCTATCTATCTCCTCTTCACATGCTCGAACCATCTCAGCCTCGATCCCGCAACTTATCATCAACAGAGATCACTTTCACCTTGTCCCAAATAACTTTTTTCCTAATATTTTCTTTCCTGGTATGGCCATACATTCATCTCAACATCCTCATTTTAGCTACTTTTATCTTCTAGACATGGACTTATTGATAGGCTAACACTCAGCCCTATACAACATTGTTGGTCTAACCACCACTCGAACTTGCCCTTAAGTCTTAGTGGCACATTCTTATCACACAAAACCCCATAAGCGAGCCTCCATTTTATCCACCTCGCTCTAATACGATGAGTAACATCATCGTCTCCTCGTTGCCTTGGATTACAAACCCAAGATACTTGAAAGTATCTCTTTTAAGGATGACTTGTATATTGATCTTTACTTACATTTCTGCTTCATACATCCCAAGTACTCTATTTCGACCTACTCAACTTGAAACTTTTAGATTTCGGCGTCTGTCTGAAACCTCCAACCTAGCATTAATCCCGTCTTGTGTCTTGCCAATCAATATTATATCATCAGTAAATAACATACACCATGGTACCTCCCCTTATATGTGTTGCATCAGCATATCTATTGTCAAGGCAAACAAAAACGAGCTAAGAGTTGATCCTTGATGCAACCCTATCTCCACTGAAAAAAATTTGAAATCTCTGCCTCTAATCTTCTTCTAAGTTTTAACTCCCTCGTACATATCCTTAATCACCCTAGTGTATACTACCAGAACACCACTAACCTCCAAATATCTCCATAGAACCTCCTTCGAGACTTTATCATAGGCTTTCTCTAGGTCAATGAACATCATATAAAAGTTCTTTTTCCTCTCCCTATATTGCTCCACCAATCTGCTCAAAAAGTGAATGGCTTTTGTAGTTGACCGTCCCGGCATAAATCCGAATTGGTTCTCGAAAATAGACACACTTCTCCTCACCCTTCTCTCCATTATCCTCTCTCAAATTTTCATAGTGTGACTCAACAGCTTGATACCCCTATAGTTATTGCAATTCTGAATATTACCTTTCTTTTTGTACAACAGAATCATCAAATTCCATCGTCAATCTTCGGGCATCTTCTTCGTCCTGAAAATGACATTAGAAAAAACAGTAAGTCACTCCAAGCCCGCCCGACCCACGTCTTTATAAAATTTTACCGGGATCTCGTCGGGCCTAATCGCCTTACCCTTGCTCATCTTCTGCATCGCCTCCTCAACCTTAGTATGCCTACAAAATCCAAAATCACATTGACTCTCTAAATTCTCCAACTCACCAAGAACGATGTTTGTGTCCCCTTCCTCGTTCAAGAGTTTATGGAAGTATGTCTGTCATCTATACCTAATACACACATCTTCCATTGATACTTTGACATCCTCGTCTTTAATGCACCTCACTTGGTCAAGGCCCTGAGCCTTCCTCTCTCTAATCTTGTCTAACCTGTACAGCTTCCTGATACCTTCTTTGCCTCCCAGATCCTCATACAATCGTCCAAATACAGGAGTCTTAGCTGTTGTGACCGCTAAATTCACCTCTTTCCTTGCCTTTTTATAACACTTTATGTGTCCTCTTCTCCTCCTCGTATGTGCTCTCTACTAGCTTCAAATATGATGCTTTCTTGACTTTCACTTTTTCTTGGACCTTCCCATTACACCAACAGTCCTTTTGTGTATCCCGAGTATCCCTTCGTGACCCAATGGTCTATACAAATAAAAAATCCAATTTATGTCAAATCTCCTAAAATATTTATTTTTATGTATTAGATATTTAAAAATAATTCAAAAAAGCTTTAAAGAATTGTTTGTTTTATTCAATTTATAAAAAATTATGTTGAATTATTTCACTCTCTTTCTTCAACCCAAAAATAAAGGAAGGGCAGAAAAATAAATGTCTAGACATGAAATAAGATTTGAGACACATTTTTTTAATATACTAGTTTTAGGATATGAACGTTGCGCATGTACTCTATATTAATGATTATAAAATTTAAAATCACATAAATATTATTTAACTATATAATTGAGTTATTAAATTAAAATTTTACACCCACAAACTCTTGAAAATGATGAATCTATTTTGACAACTTAATAAATAAAAATCTATGTCACACAAAAGTACTCTAATGCTAAAATAATAACTTCGATACATGAGTTATGCATTTGCCTCGGTTGCTTAGACAAAGAATAATATGTTGACTTGTACTCAAATATAGTACAAAAAAATACTATTTTTATATTAAAAAAATAATTGTCTAGAAAATTAAGGTAAAAAATTAATGGTTATTATATTAGTTTATCCAACATGCAGTGTATCATAATATAATATAATTCTCAAAATTATAAAGTCTATTAACATTTCATGTAGACTTAATATGTCCTAATATACATCATTACAATAATGTCTTCTTCTTGTAAAAGCTAGTTACAGTTAATTATAAATTTATTAGTTGGTAATATATATTTTAGTGATTGAATCTTATCTCACTTTAATTCACGAATGATGTTGTTACTATATATTCCTTTTATCATTTAAATGGCTTTGTCATGAGAAAAATCTTACTGTTAAAGTTGATATTTGTCGCGAATTTTATAGTTATATCACAATTAAAAGAAAAAAATCAATATGGTAAAATTTTAATTATATTTAAAGGTTTAAATATTATAATTTCATATAGTTCAAGTAAAAAAATCTAATAAGTAAATATGGTTAATTTAAAAGTCTTAAATATTATAAAAATAAGCAAATGACCCAATAATTCTTATCTTTTATCATATTTGAGTATTCGACTTTATTTAGCCTCTTGATCACGCCCAACTATGCCTTATAAAAAGGACTAAGCTGTCGTTGCAAATATAATCCGATTTACAAGTCCGGAGTCGAATCCCACAGAGAACTAAGCTTTAGCTATAGTTGTTCAATATCGCTAAGAAACACACGTCCAAACAGTTTCCTAATTATAAAGATTATAATATTTATTTTTATCTAATTAACTAAAAAAATACTAGAAAGCAGTAAGACTATCAATTAACAAGGATAGGGATTGGAGACAAGATTAAGGAGGTCTAGAGTTATGATTTTCCCTATTGTCGAAATCCTTTTCGCTACGTTTTCTATAACTCTGCCAAAATTTTCTCTACCGATCATGAGCGCTCTGAGTGTCGTAATTCTCTCTCGAGTAACTACCACAATTTACTAGACATATTCTCCCAAATTAGGCTAGCTGGCATTAACTACGGCTCACTCGGATCACACCAAAATTTCGTTATCCCTAATCCCACCTTTAAACCCTTCGTATTGATCCCTTATATACGTTAGGAGTGATGTTATTCAACAACTACCTAAATATGCATTCTCTCTCGAGTAATACACACACTAAATAGGCACAATTGATTGAGAGCTCTTCAACCAACACAATAATAATGTAGTTGAACAAATAGAGAAAATAATATGGCAAAACTACATTAACGTAACAGTAAAACCATCCTCCAATAGGTTCCATCAAACCCTAGATAACAAATTAGCTATTCATAATAGTATGCAAACCTACAATACTAGAATTCATAACCAATAATGGAAATAGGAAGAAGGAAGTGAAAAACTCGTAGAAAAATTCTCCGCCTTGCTCCTAGTGTGTTTTTGCCTCCTTAGGTCGAATCCCCGGCCTAATGTCGGTCTCTCTGTCCAATCCCCGGTCTCCCCCTCAAAAGTGAAATTTTTAGGTCTATTTATATGTGTATAAAGGACCTAAACGTGTAGGCCAAGTCCTAATCAAACCAGGAGATGAAATAATTTTTCAAAACTCGGACTAGTTCTCGCCCCAGGCTTGGCGTCGCCAGGCATAACGCCTGGTAGACCCAGCCCCAGGCCTGGCATCTCCAGGTCTAACGCTTGCCTGAGGCCTGGCGTCGCCAGGTATAAAGCCTCCGTTGGGTTTCGTGACAACACCTAGTCTTAAGGACTAGGTAAGCCTAACATTTACAAAAGAACAACAATAATAAACAACATCTTAAAATTCTTTTGGAATGAATCCTTTATACAATGAACATATTCCCAAAATCCGATAGTACAAGTCATAAGCTCTACAGAGTTAACTACCACTTCTATATAAACTATTTGGAAAAGAGTGAAAAATAGTTGAATACAAGTAAGAAGGTGACTCCGAAGCCTGCCAACGTAGCAGCAGGTCTACCTCGAGTCTCCTCAACAATGATCCACACAGCTACTAACGATCGATACCTGGGATCTGCACAACAAAAATATGCAGAAGAGTAGCATGAGCACATCACGGCGGTGCCTAGTAAGTATCAAGACTAACCTCAGTGGAGTAGTGACGAGGAACAGTCATGATA